TGACTTTTTAATCATCAAAATATTCCTTAAGGATGGCCTAATTTTCAGAAGTAGATATAAAACTATATCATGATTTATAGACATACCAGAAAAGTTAAGCAGACTGTATTGTTACAGATGATCGAGTGTTTGGACTCCATGTTATACTGAAGATCCTGGGAATTATGATGCTCTTAATTGGGATTGTCATCTTTGAATGGTGAGATTTACTACAGTATAGATACTTTACCGATTCAGTTATAATTTGGATTTTAAATTAATATTTGTCTTTTAGCTGGTTCAGATTCTTCAACAAACCAAAGAAGGTAAGCTAACAGCACACATTTTTTCCAACCCAATTCTGTCAGATTCTTAGAGGTAAAACTGCTCGAGAAAAATCTAAAACACTGATAAAGATATTTACATTTTTTTAAAGGTTGAGTTTTCTGTTTACGTTTGTTTTAAGTTAAAATAGATTGAAACTGTTCAGTTGGAAACAGAGAACTGATGAAGTGAAGTTCAGAATTTCCCATAATCTGTACATGGTCAGTATTCATAGAACATTTACTGACTTCTAGCTTATTTGAAAAACTACAGTAAATCATATTCACTCACACACATCCATAAACTGATTAACAGTATCATTAAGTAAATTTGGGTTTGGAGTCCTGCTCAAAGATTAAGAATCATGACAGCTTTATTAGAAGATACTTTAACATAAGGTGGAACAACGCTGGAATCTAACTTACAAGTTACAAATTGTTAGAACAGTATCCTTCCTCACTGAGCTACAGAGCCCCAACTCTTCAAATTATGAATAAATCTCATAGAGTAATTGTGAGATTAAAATCAAAGTAATCATCAGTCTCACCATTTTGAAATATATATATTTTTTCTTTCTCTTTTAAAAGATTGAGCTCAGGTAGATTTGATAAAAAGAAGCAAAATCCTTTTTTCCATTTTATGTCCAAAGGAAACAAAAAACCAAATCTATGTCAACACTGTGATGGAGACCAAGACATGATGAGCCACAAGGAGACCAGAAGGCCTCATGCAGCAGGATGATTTCTGATGGATTTTAATTAATCTATTCTCTGTCTAATTGTTTGAGTTAAGAGGCTCCTTATTATCTGCTGTGGCCAAAAAGCAAAAAGCTTAAAGAATCCTAATCAGGTGATTTATAGATATACTGTGCAAAAGAAATTACTTATCTTTTAATTCATTTTTGATATTTGTTTCTGCATTTATATTTTTTATACATTTAATTAATGATAATGTTTGGTGGAGTACTAAGTTGTATAGGTTTTAGATAAACAGAATTTCTGAAGAATATTATAGAATATTAAATTCTTCTTAACAGAATAAAGTAATTGTTTTTTAAAATGAGTTTTCCATTTCGTAACGCCATAAATTGCAAAATTTGAACAGATTTAAAAATGTACGCAAAAAGCATAGAATTTGAGAACCTATTGGCAGCCAGAATATTACTGAGTGTTGTAACATTGAGTGAGCCACAGTACTGTTATGTTTTATATGTTTTTTTTTTTCCAATTTTTTTTAAAATAAATTCAATTCAGTTTATTTATATAGCGCCAAATTCACAACACAATTCATCTCAAGGCACTTTACAGTTTAACCAGATCATACAGTCAAATTGATACAAAGTTTTCTAATCTAAGGAAAACCAGTTGATTGCATTGACTCATTGACTCAAATGCAATCCCTCACACTAAGCATGCTTGTAGCGACAGACGAGAGGAAAAACTCCCTTTTAACAGGAGGAAACCTCCAGCAGAACCAGGCTCAGTGTGAGTGGCCATCTGCTGAGGCCGACTGGGGTTCAAGGAGACAGAAGCAGAGACACAAAAAGCAGCTGTAGAAGGCGGCTCTGTCCAGGAAACACACAGCCAGGCAGACGAGCTCCGAGCCAGCTTCCATGACAGAGGACGAAGAGAGCACATCCACTCAGTCACGGTCAGAG